CTGTCGATTCTGATAGTCTGTAGTACTCATCTTTCGGCAAATCTATGCATTTCAGATGAAACCAATACGAGCAGTCCTCGCATAAAATTGCATGTTGATTTTTTCTTACCGGCTTGAGGCATTTTCCGCATGGATTTTTCACTGGTCCTGGATTTCTAGACACATCTCCAGACAACAATAAAAGTCTTACAAATGATGAATGATACTGGGAACTGGTGTTAAAAAGTGTTCCTTTTGTTTTCAATTTTTGAAAATGGCGGGTCTTCTCAGGGACTCCTCTAGGGTGCAAAAGATCTAGTCCAAAATCATAAAAGGACAAGTTTGTGATAGTTTCGGAATAGAAACCAAGATCTTCAGTCTTATATCTATTAGTTAAAACCACTGGTTGCGATGTGATTGCAAAAAGACGGATAAAAATCAATGTTGTTGTTAGAGCAAGTATTATACCGTCCAGTCCCGACGCCATCTTCGACATATTTGATTGTTTGACAATGGCCGTATGTAAAATCAAACCAATCTTTGATTTAAAAATACTTAATAATGATCAGTGCAGTTTTTTAACGTCACAAGTGGCTTTTAAATATCTATGTAAGCAAATATATATTGAATATGAGTTTGAATATAAGTTCAAACAAAACTGATTTATTTGAAATGACAATGCTTGTTTACAACACCATCGGGGGTTTATTTTGTATAGTTTAATCTTAAAAATCAATGAAACAATTTAAAAACTAGTGAGAGGTGCTAAAGGGTGAGGTCTGTTGGTCACAACTTAAACATTCCAACGTCCTCCCAAAATGATACAATTGAATAATGAATTATGTCAAATCATTCTATTATATTGCTATATTTTTATTGTGTTATCTAGTATACCGATGACTTATAGTTAGAAACAAACTATCTCTAGGTGTAAACAAATGAATAAGGAAATATAGGAGTGAAACATATGGAATCGCAAGAACTCCAAGCAGTCATTCCAAATATGTCAAAAGAGTAGGTATTTTCAGGTAGCATTCATTATTTGTCATACGATTCTAAAGTCATACCCAGTATGAATTTCATGAACATAACAAAAATGATGTCACATGGACATAAATAGATTCATGGGATTTATGACAGAGTTTATGTGTATCTAGTGAATTGAGAACTGGAGTTTTAGAGTAACCTACTCCAAATCTGTCACCAAGTAATTTGCCAATTTATCTTTTATTTCAGTTTGTGCATGCTTTGAACTTTGACCTAGGAACTTCGAAATTGAATAAATTATGCCCTTGACTTTTTTCCAACAAGCATTGGGATTATTAAGTTTGACGAAGATAGTTTTCCAAATGCGCATTTACGGTTTTGATTTCTCTCTAGGTGCCATGTTGTGAAATTTATATACTGTCCATCTAGATCAGTAGAAGACAGAGGCCTTATGATCCTATCACTTTCCAACATACATTTTAATTGGTATGTTTGATAAGGACAGTTTGCAAAGCGTTAACCAACTAAAGGCCTTTATTTATCCATTATTTCATTATTAACTGGAAGATTATAAAGTTTTAAAGCAAATATCAAGAGGTTATAAAATAGCTGAATTATACATGCATATCTCATTTTAATTCAGAGCAGTTAACATTGCAGTTGTTTCATTTTAGAAGTCATCTAAGTACTAAGTACATGTATTCTCTCTAACACTCCATTACGTCATGATAAATGATTGAAATGTGAACTTTTTTTTATCAAACAAACTTTCACTTTTTAAACTGTTTTCAATGGTTTATTGATGATAAATATACATTGCGTAAATATACCGGATTGAAATTCAACTATTTCAAGTTGTTTAATGGAATATAATGTTGTTTAATGTAGTTATGAATGTGCTTTATATGGCTTTAAAACTTTAGATTTATTAGGCCATCGAACGTCAACAACATTATATAGAAATATATTTTTTTTGTTACTGAAGTTCGACCCTTCGACACACATATCAAATTCTCTTTTATTAAGGACATAGTTAAAATAAAATTGGCATTGAACTTTTTTTTTCGAAGTCGAAACATTGACATTTCAAATTCAAAATTTCGACTATAACTCGAAAATTTAACTTTTCAAATCTCGAAATTTTGACTTTTTAAAATCTTGAATTTGACTTTTTAAAAAGTCGAAATTCTGACTTTTTGATAACTTGAAATTTCTACTTTATAAAAGTCGAAATTTCGACTTTAAACTCAAAATTTCGACTTTTAAAATCTCAAAATTTCGACGTTAAAATAAAACTTTATACTTTTGAAATCTCGAAATTTCGAGGTTTTTTTTACGTATTTAAACCTTGATATTAGTATTCAAACACTGTACAGTTATTACAATTTTAAAAGGACGGTAGACATGTACGCAAATTGCTAAAGCGTCATCCACACATTTTGGCAATTTATATTCAGAAATTGGTTTTGTTCTTAAATTATGATATGGATTAGCATTTAATATTGAAGAGTTTCATTCGGAAAGAAAATGCATGTTGACAGAAAAAAACTGCTGTTTTCCCATATTCCATGTTTTAGTTTCCACGACACTGCCATAGGATCGTCAGATCTGAGGACATTTTGCATCCCATTTTTTATGGTTGTTTTTAAAGGCCTGTTTGGTTTCCCAAAAGCAAGTCTATGACTTTATAAATCAGACTTTGCCTTGTTTAAACAATGATAAATCAAGTGGTAAATATGCAAATATGATAAAGGTCAAGGAAACAGCAGCCCGACAACAGAAATAACATAAAGACATCTATATTTTATCAAACGGTTTTCAACAATAAATAGGTGTCTATACAATTTATCAAGCTTCAAACTACCCGTCTCAAATAGATAAAACGAATAAAATTAAAAGAGACTAATAGATAGATATGAATGGTTCACAATGATTGTGGTCAAAACTGATCAGAAAACCACAGTGATATACTTAAGCGTGTTGTTCAATTATTTTATATTTTAACCACAAGCCGAAATTTTATAATTCTACTAATACCATAAATTTGTGAACATTCGTTTTATCATGACTAACTGCATCACGAAGTGAATCTTGAAAGACCATTAATTTGCTTATAACTGAAGCGTTGATGTCGATATTCGATATTTCGAATGATTAAAACAAATATTATTTTCATTAGCATTCTACACTCAACAGCAAAAGTAACGCATGACCACCGTTAATTTCTTTTTAATTTATTATTCATAAATTGCTACATCTTTAACACTAAGGATAGAAATGGTCCAACATTTTGACATATTGGTTTTAAAGGAATAAATTTGGTAAATTTCAAGAATTTCGAAATAGCAATTTTTTTTCTTTGAAACTCCAATGCCGGATTAGAATGAAGTTTCCTTCATTAGCTCTAGGATTATTTCCACTCATTGCCTAAAAAAAAGAATTAATTTTCACGTAATTATAAAGTAAAACCATTCAAGAGAAAACTAGTAAAAGTTCAGGTTGCGTTTCTTATGTTGCTGAGTATATCTATAGTTTTGAAAAATCTTAAACACAGGTGATAATCAATTTCTGTATTTAAAGTTTATAGATGAGCAATTTAAATATATGTTGTGTTCATTCAAGATCAAAGATACAAAAGGTACATAAAATGTTTCTTGCTGGGCATAAAATTTAATGAAATGATAAATGTGTTTCAATAAAATCCTTTACTTTAAAAGATATTCGGAATGTCTGAGTGATTTTTATTTAATGAGAGTATTTTTTTATAACATTGTAGATAGGATCTTACGATATTTGTACAATACTTTTAAAGGATGCGCAGAAATCGTAATTGCCTAGCATTATTGCTTAGCAATGAAATATGTAGTTGGTATATGTAGGTTGTTTTTTGCAAGTTATTTTTTTTTTTAGTTACCGATTTTTTTACCGCTTTGTTTTAACAATAGCACATGCATATTAACACCACGATATCCTTTTATGTAATTGGATATCCTGCATTTTCCATGATTTACCATACAATGAAAATTATTGCTGAAAGGACCCCTCCTCACTCATTAAAATCCACCCTTTAGCATTAACCAAACTTAGGTGTAAGCTAGATTTAACCATATCTCGTGAGTGTATCTAATATTTACAGTAATTTTGGTGCTAAAACAAATTGTGTGTAGCAGAGAGTTAATAAATACAAGTGTACTTTTTGTTATTGTGGAAATAACGTTGTGACCAAGGTTACAATTCCTTCGAGCAAAGTGAATTGTACTTTTTTTGCTCTCTCGTTTATTCTAGTTTTTATAGCTATCAAACGTTTGATATTTTTGCTTCCCAATGGAGTGTACCTGGCGAAGGATATTCTGAAAACACTTGAATTTGCACATGGAAATAGGTGGCATACATTATTATAATTTATATAAGGATAAAACTACTGGTCATATAAAGGCCCAAAACGCAATAATATTTGAAGTAACCAGTCATGCTTTTCAGGAGAATCTCATTTGTTGAGGAAGACAGAGTTAGGTCCTTGTGCAGCTGGTCAATCTTTATTTTTCTATGTAGCGTTTTGTGGACTTGTTCGTCTTGTCGTCATTTGTTTTCTTTTTTTGTCATGACGTTGTCAGTTTTTCTTCGGATTATGAGTGTTCGGTAGCTTATGTGTCTTTTTTTAAAAAACAATCATTAACCATGCATTTCTATTAAGATCATATTTCATAAATTGTGCAATAGTGGATACCGACCAAGTATCCATTGGTAATTTAAATTGTAAAAAGCATATATGTAAATGATTTGACCCTTTTATCAAATTTAAAAAAACAGATTTTTTAAGCATTAATACGATTATGAAAATTTTCAAATATTCAAACATTTAATTAAAATGGTATTAAAATAAAAAGAAAAAATATTTACAAAAGAAATTATCATACACAACAACGGATCTCTGTCATATAATTTTCTCATGATTATGCATAAGGTAAACACGATTATGAGCGATTTTATTTAATACCCAAATATAATACATTGAAAAGATACAGATTGGCGTTTATATTGATATAATTATAAAAGTGTTGGAAGTTACAAGCCTTTGTGGAATGTAGACAGACCGTGGTGAATGAGATCACATATAATTTTGTTTTCATTTCAGATCTATATTATGATGTTGTCCTGTTGATATAGTAAATGGAAACATGCGAGTCAGGTACGTACGTTTACATCTAATATCCAATATTTTGATTTAAAAAGGGAAAAAATGTTTCCTGTTTCTAGGTGGGTATTTTGCCAATGTCTTTTGTTTTAGTTCACATTGTTATTTGTATATTATGTTTGCGTGTTGTCATTGCTGTTTGTTAATGCTTTTCAATAACTAATGATAATTCATCAGTTGATGACTTCTGATAAGTTAGACATATTGAGGATTAAATATAATAGTTTTGAAATAACTATAATTTACATTTTTCAAAAGTAACATTATACAGGTCGACAAAGATTATAGCAAGTGTAAATCAAAATCTTTTAACCAATACTTATTTCTACATTTTACTGTGGAAACATAGAAGATTAAAGAATCACAAAACTATATTTTATTTTGGTATTATTACTTTAAACAATGAAATGGAAAGTCAATATATTAATATAATGTCTATTGATCTTCAGTTAGACGAATAATTTATTTCAATTCAAATTGATATACGGCTTGAATTACTAGGCAAAATTGAATTATGTTAGCACTGGCTATTAGAAGCATCACCGGTTATTTTTGAATAGATAATCTGTATTCCAAAAGGTCCTTAGTGTGCGCCTTTGGTAGCTGATCCCATATTGTACTCATTTGAGCAAAACCTTACAAACGACAACAAGAAAAACAATCTACAATTTCACATCCATCTTTATTTCAGTACATGTATCTAATATACACACATGAACTTGACATCAAGAGTTACCATATAGACAAGAAAATCTGCTCCATAACTTTATGACAACTCAATACTTTGACAAACGTGATAATACAATTTTCCATCGTCACCTTCTAATTCTTGAGAAGTACATGTAGCATTACCGTTTCATCCCCCTGTCCGCCTTTATGCATCCAAATTGTAAAGATATGCCAGAACACTTTCTCATTATGGCAATCTTATTAACAGATTATATACTTGACTAGCCAACCTTCTCAACAGGGCTATGCGAAAGAGCTCCGAAATAGTTGATCGTCGCAGTGTCTGTCTCAAATTAATTGTAGCCGTTGAAAAGTAAGTTAAAACTCTTTAATTGTTCCATCATGGTCATCACGGTCCCTCTGCTATATATGAAAATAAGAAGATGTGGTATGATTGCCAATGTGTCAACTATACTTAAGAGACCAAATGGCGTAGAAATTAACAACTATAGGTCACCGTACGGCCTTAAACAATGAGCAAAACCCATACCGTATAGTAAGCTATAAAAGACCCCGAAATGACAAATGTAAAACAATTCAAACGAGAAAATTAACGGCCTGATTTACTGTGGATTCATTTGTTTTCGTGGGCACTAATGTTCGTGGATTGAGGAAAACTTGCATTTTGGTGGATACTTAATTTCGTGGTATTGCCAAAATCTGCATACAAGCCTATAGCAAATTTATAATTCGTTGAACATTTAAATTCGTGGTTCACCTTTACCCAAGAAAATTGGTACCCAACTGATATAAAATGAAACCGCAGTATGCACAAAACAATAAACAAAAATCAAATATGATATACAGCAACAAACCACAACCACTGAATTACAGGCTCCTGACTTGGGACATGCACATTCAGAATGTGGCCGGGTTAAACATGTTTGTTAGCGCCAAACTCTGTCCCTAACTTGGGATAGTGGTGTAACAGTTCATCTGTCTATTACTAGTTCCACTATGCCATGCACTGACACTTAATAAGGATCTGACTTTGGAATATGACATTATGTCAAATGATATTTGGAAAAGCGAATGCTGATGCTTATCATATGAATTTACAGAAATATCATGTTCGTATTTGGTATAACGTATCGGAAATAATTTCGACCAATGATATTTTGCAAAAAAACACTTACAACATAGTGTGCTAACATAACTAAAAAAAAAGCATATATTTGACTGAGTATAAATACGTTCACAACAATATCAGAGGATTTTTTGTTCAATTTGTTCTTTCATAGGAAAATTCAAACAGGTACCGACTTATTTTCATTGTTGAAGGCCGCACGGTTGCAATAATTGCTTACATCCACTTCCATTGGATAGTTGTCGCATAGGCAATCATATCACATCTCCTTATTTTCATTTCAAAAAGAGGATCTAATGTAAAGTTTAAGAATTGGTGTGAAACGGTTATGTCCAAATAGAAAACTTAAAGATCTAGGTTTGACTAAATATCTTTAAAATTCAGGTTAGTTTTAAAAATATTTATTCCAACAAATCTTCGCATATCAATGTAAAACACTTGAAATAAATATCTAAAATTCAGAAACAAACAAAGTCTGTCTCCTAAAAAATCATGTTAACGACCAAGAATATATATATATAATTATATGTTTACGAAATATCTACGATTTACAAACTACTGATTTACAAAGGGAAACATGTTTCCTATTAAAGGAAATGGAGAGTATATACAAGTTATTTTTAATAAACCTTATATTGTCTGGGTCAGCAATATTAGTTTGTGTATACAAATATATATTAAATGAGACATTTAAACGTTTTTAAGTGCGTCCTTCAGACTTATTTCGGTTTTCAACAATCAAACTGAAACCACACTAATGCACCAGCTAACAAAACTTATAACCATATTGTACACATCTCCAAGTAGATCTTAATTTAAGATATCATAGTGAAAGGAAATACTTTTAATTTTGAAGTATTTTCGTATTGTTTCCAATTGCTTGTAGACCTCCCTTTTAAAATCTCAGTGCATTATATACAAATGTAACCGATAATTGAGGCTTCTCTTAATTTTAAAATATGAATAGTAGGACATTGGGAAAAGACGTTAAAATCTTATATAATCAACAATGATTAATAATGCATTGTTTTGTATGATATAAATTGTATGTTACAGTGAAAACAATGTATGTATACTGTTCCCGCATGTTTGACAACCATTAAAAGTGTTACTGAAATTGTTGAACGTGCTACTGTTTGTCAATTAACGTAATAATAAGATACCGGTGCACTCTTCTGCATTTTGATATTAACGAACACATACATTTCTTTCTTTGAAAATATACATTAAATTTAACATTTATGTAATTAAAATTGACTGAAAGTATCATACGGGTTTATAGTGTATACAGAACCCGTGGTTTACAATTATTATTATTTTCATTTTTTAATATTCGCTTTAGATCTTTAGTTTGATATTTTCTTTATGATGAAGTCACAGTCGGGTACAATCTGTACCAGTTCATCAAAATGTAATACAAAATAAAAAAAATATAGACTGGTTTGTCTATCCATTATCCCGTTTTTTTCAAAGTGATCCGATTGACAAAGTAGATGCAATACTAATAATGTTTTATTTCAAACCAGGATCCGTTTGTTTCTGTTGTGTCACTGTTTATCGATAGTAAACATTTAAAAAAAATGTGTACTGAACTGCTACTACAATTGTATTTGTTAAAACAGATGTAAAAACTAGATATCATACGTTTTGTCAACTATGTTCACTGAAAACGTTGTCAAAATATACTTGTGTATTATGAAATCAAATACACTGATTGTTTGGTGGCTAAACTCCGATAAAGAGCCCATGTAGAATGGAACCAAAGCATTTCCATACATATTTGCAACGTCAATATAGGACGATAAAGAATTAACTGGTGTTCAAACAATTGCTAGAGATTATATTTGATTTTGAAATTGCAGTATGAAATAAGAATCATGTCTTCTACAACGGAGTCCATACTTATGATATCAAAATAGAACGTTCTTATTGTAACTGTAATTACCATAAAATTGAGCTTTTATACATATATGTTGAAAACAAACATAGTGCTATTAAAACTGTAATTACTTTGCATTATCTTGCATCATATTGTTTTCTTTGGAACCATTTCTAATTTCAATTGGGAAGATCACAACATGCAAGTCCTTCAGCTTTTACATTGACAGATAATATGCATTATGTAAACATTCAAAAGCTTTATTTTATTTGTAGTTTAAAATCTTTTTATTTCATACATTGATTAATTTGGACCATCGGAGATTCTTTTCTAGTTAAATTGTGTTGAAAAGAGTGTACATATATTATTTAATTACTATTACGATATCGCATCAAACACCAATAATTTATCATCAAATTTAAATGGATTCTACATGACAGCATTTTTTAAAGAAATCTTTTTGCTCATTCATTGATCGATTTTTGTTCGCTTAACGTCCAGCGACGAATATTTGATGCACATTCAGGATGTGAATTTTAAATAATTCGAAAGTAATTCCATTTAGGAATGGTAGAATTAAACAATATACACTTTACAACTAGATCAATTTGTAAAAACAATTTTGTAGCAATGAAATGTTAAAACTCATCAAATTGTTATCAATGTTTGTTTTTTTTTTTAAATCTGCCACTTCAATTGCAATAAACAAATACAAAACTGGGAAAATATATATCAAAGAATTCATGACTTTTTGGATTGTTTTCGTATTTTAGTCTTGCTTAATGTATGTTCAGTTCAGAGTATCAACATCTAGAATTATCAGTGAAATGCAGTATTGTTTGGAAATGTGAATTTATTCGTAATCTTTAAAGTTTGAATAGTTGACAATACTATCACAAATTTGAAGTGAATCGCTGTCAGAAAATATTGATAGTTTGTAAACATTGGGATAACCTATGTTGAATCTATTATTACAGTTTAAACAAAAGTGGCGATGAGAAATTTACATGAAGAATGGTATAATATTTCAATCTCTATACTGCATAGTACATTTCACCTTTTTCTTGGCCTTAATTATGAAATACAACTAAAAGATGCACGAATATATAATATATGTATAACGTGCCAGTCCATTCGTTCCGTTGGTTGATAAAGTCAAGCGTTTGGTTTTGTCCGGTTTTATGGACTTCCCCCTTTTTTAAATTCACATTGGATGTCGGTGTTATTGTTAATACTTTTTTGTATAACGGTTGCCATATTATAGTCTTTATTTGTTTTGTTATCGAGATAGTTCAGGGA